AACTAGAAAGGTCTCAAATTTCTGTTGATTGCAAATCACTTCTAATGTCCATTATCACGTTTCTTGTCTATCATTCAGTCACATTCATCCTCAACCAACTCATACATCTCTTTTAAAAGTCCTCAATTAATATGACAAAGGCTTCCGCTCTTTTTCTTCCGCAACATGTCAAGCTCTGAGTCTCTAAGCTAACTCTTGTGGAATGAAATTTTTGTTATCTCTTATACCTTGAACATGTTTTGAGATGAGGTAAAACAAGATGTTTGAATGCATCGAAGTTTGCCAGCCACTCGAATTCTTTCTCATTCTTAAACCTTCTGTCCCAGTATTCTCTTTCAGCGTATTGATGGTTAGTTTCCATGAATACCTTCAAGAACATATGACGCTCAATGCAGTGATTAGATTAACAGTGCAGGATTGAAATAATTAGAAATGCGGCATAACACTGACCGAAAAAGCTATCCCTACGCAACACAGAAAAACATTTTTTGACCATTTATGATCCATTAATAACAAGACAACAAGATCAGAATATGCACGTATTTTAAGAAAAAGGAAGAAAAAGTAGAATACAACTAACACAATCAAAGAGAGTGTTAAGAAACCACTAGAGAATAAACAGACCAAACGGACGTGCCAAAAGCCGCATGCGCAAGTGCATGCATACACGCAACCACGACGACCCACATGACGCCGGCAGTTCCCGTACTCCCTCCTCTACAAGCAATAAAGGCAAATCAGACTTTCTCCTAATCTTGAACTTAGCACAGACAACAATAACAGACTGGAAGAAATCTCAACGATAACTTGACTTCAACAATAAAATCGAGGCTTAGCATTCACTAAACTATATAGCCACAATTGAAGAGAAAGTAAACTGTGATCTGAGGAGGTTTCCTACATAGGTTCTGCCTGCGCCCCGGAAGAGGCCACATCACATTCCGGCCTGCAAAATCAAAACTGCAACCTAATAAAATGACAACTAGAGGTTAGTAGAACGATTAGTTGCGGTATGCACTTGGGAATTCGCAAGCAATGTTATTACTGTTAACTAAGCAGCTCCATTTTACAATTTTGCGTACGCAAAGCAAAAATGAAATGAATGAAAAATAAGTTCATAAATAAATTACAGCGTGTCGACATTTGACAATGGTACAAGCATACAAATGCGATGCCATTTTGCATGCAATGTATAACATATAGAACACGAAACGGAGCGTGGATGGATCCACTCACGTGTAAGGATGGAAGCCACGAGGACGTCTGAAACGATATCAATATCAAACGGCTACGAGTTAATCATATGCAAAAGCATGCACAACAACTAGCGATGTATTCATACTTACCGGAGACCGCGCGCTCCACGAGGGCGGTAGCCGCCCACAGGAACGTATTTAATAATGTAACCTGGAGGAGCACCTCCAAAACCTCCCCGGCCACGATAGCCGCGCCCACGTGGAGGACGATTGGTGGTTGAAATTCCAGGGCGATTGGTTCGTTTCTCCATAACCTATAAATTATCGATAGAAATGGAAACTTCAGTAGCATTGTATGCAAAAGAATGCACCTTTATTTGCCGTCCCTTGAGGAGACTATCTGTCATTGCAAGAGCCATTTGCATGCCTTCTTTGTCGGCGAACTCGGCATATGCGAACCTGAAATTTATGTAGATCGGTAAGTCAAGAACATAAGAACTTAGTCGATAGAAAGCCGAAAATCTTTCAGAAAGTACGTTAAAACGAGAGAGAAAATTTTCACAACTTCAAA